TTTTATATACTTCAGCCCCTTGGTGTTAGACTTTTAACCCTTATTATAGTAAGACTTGTTTAAAACTTATTTAAGATTTTAGATTCCTATATGTTGAATGTATGCACCATCCTGCCAAAGTAAATTCCGTGTCGGTGTGAACTTACATGGCGAATAAAACCCTTTCTGATTCTGATTCTAGCTAATTATAACTTTAATAATAAAGAATTAATACCCCAACACCGTTTTAGCTATAATAACTCTAGATCGGTGTTAGAAAAGCTAAATACGTAATTTGTGTTGCTTTACAAGTGTAGTGCAATAGCGTAAGGATAGTTCTGGTGTAGATTTAAATTCAAAATGTCACGGTATTGTGCTGGATCCAGCTGGTCAGCCAAGCACGATGCGTATTCTAAACAACACGTCGATACGAAGGTGATCAAAACTACTCTTGCGTGAGAATATTTATTTGCGGATGCATACGAGCACGGGAATAAGCCCAGATGCGTGAGTCTCACGCTTCAGTGGTTGATCTCTTTGGGCGACCCTCTATGGCGATTTGCAACAACTCCTCCAGCGCACGGAGCCGATGTCACCAACGGCTCTACCGTGGTTCAAAATCCTGCTCCTCGGCTACCTGTGATTAAAGTTGTACTGGTAGGAAACGTAGTGGACTGGAAGCCCAACCGGGATTAATTCACAGGAGGCAGGGGATTAATTGTGTATGTCTGTGGATGTCTGTCCACGTGTATCCGGACACCCGGATAAAATGGGAGGGGTGGGGCTGGGTGGAGAGGGGAGGGTGGGGAGGGGCTGGGTGGGGAGGGGAGGGTGGGGAGGGGCTGGGGAGGGTGGGGAGGGGAGGGTGGGGAGGGGCTGGGGTGGGGAGGGGAGGGTGGGGAGGGGCTGGGGAGGGTGGGGAGGGTGGGGAGGGGCTGGGTGGGGAGGGTGGGGAGGGGCTGGGTGGGGAGGGTGGGGCTGGGTGGGGGGTGGGAGGTGTGGGGGGTGGGAGGGATGGGGCTGGGTGGGGAGGGGCTGGTCACCCCGTGGTGCCCTTATAAAACTCAACGTTTAACCTACTCACGCCGGCTTGTGCCCGCCCTCACAGTCGGGCATATTTGCGGAATACACCACGTGGTGCCGCCGTTGACCCTGGCCATTGACCGAGCAACCCAACGTTCCTACCAGCTCCCTCCGCAGGAATGTGTTTCTCAGGTGTGGCGAGTTGATGGTCTCAGTCTAGTTGCCAACGACTGCCCCCCTAACCCCGCCGTTTAACCCCCCCCCCCCCCCCATCACGTTCAATTTTATTTGTCATTTAAGTTGGCTGAAATGCTGCTGTGTTACAGCCAGGGGTAAGTCGCAATCCACACTCGCAATGATATCCTGGCATGACAGTTAAACTAAAAATTGCATGACTTCATCTTCACCTTCATCTCACTTAAGTGGGCTAGAGTACGGTTCTCATAATTCAAAATGTTGGATTGAAGAGCATTTTATGTACGGCATGTTCAAGGTGTGTCCGTTGGCGTGGAATAAATGTATTAATAATAATAATGACATCTATAACGAGCCAGATTTCGCAGACAAGTGCAGAGCCAAGCTCAGGGCTGCTCGAAAGCCTGGCCCAGAACAGATAGAGGAGGCCCTTAGATGTTGCTTGAAAGTCAGAGTGCATGTGATGTTGCGAATGTGCAAAGGGATATAGAGAGTTCCACACCGAGGGGGCGACAGCAGAGAACCGACACGAGGCTGAAACAGTTCGAGACCTCGGAGTCCGAAGCAGATGTTGAGTGAGGCTGCTGCTGCTGCGTAGGGATCTACCGTGAGCCTTTGGTGCAAGGAGAGAGTAGTGAGGCGAGGTGTGATGGGGAACCGGTGGTGAAGGCGCGATGGCAAAGGCAGGCGCGATTTTGATATGAATTCAGGAGTAGTTTCTACGATGTCATCTTCCAGGGCCATACATGTGGCGCGCTGTTGGCTGTGAAAGTTCAGAATGTGAGTTTCTTCATCTTGTGACATGACACCAATGGGGATAATTTGGAGAGAGACTTTTTTTCCCGAGTAAGAAAAAATGGCCACGTTCTTTTTACAATGTCAATTCAAATGGCATGCGCCAACCGCTATAGATAACCACGCCGGGGCAATGTTGTTCGTAAGTGTGGCACGGTCTGTCAAAATTAAGTGTCATCACGCTGCCATTTTTTTACACAAGTACAACTTGTAAAGAACATTTTGATAAAGTGCTACGTGAAACCAAAGTCACTTTCTTACCGACGCTTATCATAACCCCCCGCTGCCCGATAACGGAGGTGGGGGGAAAACTATCAATTGTGTTGCAGTTGATGCACGGTTTAATAATCTCAGCTTGACGCTTCATTCATCAGACACAAGTTGTATGCACTCGCTTCTGATTTCAAGGGCGTTGGACTTGGGCTATGTTGTTGGGAATGAGGTTAATCGTGAGCGTGACACGTATGCTGATTGCAGATGATACATGAAGTGCGTTTGATCTCTTCAAAATGATCCGTTTCAGGATTTAAAAAAAAAAACATGCACCGTTCTCGCCGCTTCGTTTTTATGATATATTTTCAATACAACTTCTACTTGTAGCTCTACGTATAACTAACTACAAGTGGTAAAGTAGTGGTACATTGTTAACATGTTTCACACGTTCTCAGCTCCAGCAACAAACGCTTTCTGCCCGCAAAGTCTGCAATCGCTGTTACCTCTGGCGTCCGTTCGATCGACTCCCTGCCACTGTTCAAGTCCAGGTTGAATAACTTCATATTATATTCTTAGTTTTTTCGGTAAAGTCACGTTGAAGAGAAACAACAAAATAACAAAATATATATAAAACAATAAAAAATTCTCACGACGTTTCGACCATAACTCAAACGGTCATCATTATGGTCGAAACGTCGTGAGAATTTTTTATTGTTTTATATATATTTTGTTATTTTGTTGTTTCTCTTCAACGTGACTTTACCGAAAAAACTAAGAATATGAATTACTGCAGTCACGAAAGCTTTAAATCAAAATTTAACTTCATATTGTTAATGTGTTTTCTTCTTCCAACTACTGACCGCCTCTCTGTATGACATCAGTATGCCAACATTTTGCCCGTACATTGAATGAGGTGCCGCTGCATTTCGATGCAATATAAAATGCAAATCGTCAACTCAATGTCTATTTGCGTTGTGCACGTTACGTCAATTAAAGGCACCTGAGAGCGCTTTACATGAAATAAAAAGGTTCAAGAATGTGCAACACACAATATATATAAAAAATGCAATATATTTAGTTTAGAAACAACAAAGCAAAATACAAGATAAAAGGTACAGCACTGCAATTGCTAGCTCATACCACTGCTGGCAGAAGGGGCCTTCACTAGATGGAGCTCTAGACAACCCCTCAAAGAGGATATTTTCGCCTACTTCTCCACATTGGCCTCACAGCTTAGAAGAGATCAAAACCAAGGTCTCGGGGCACACACACATCACTTTAGTGACACACACGAGGCATCCCACTGCCTACGGAAGTGAAGATGTGATGGTGAAGCTGGATCCCCAGTGGGGCGCGTTGGTGTGCTGCATCGATGTGCTGCATCGGTGTGCTGCATCGGTGTGCTGCGTTGGTGTGTTGCATCGATGTGCTGATTCGTTGTGCTGCATCGGTGTGCTGATTCGTTGTGCTGCATCGGTGTGCTGATTCGTTGTGCTGCATCGGTGTGCTGATTCGTTGTGCTGCATCGGTGTGCTGATTCGTTGTGCTGCATCGGTGTGCTACATCGATGTGCTGCATCGGTGTGCTGCATTGATGTGCTGTTTTGGTATGCTGCATCGGTGTGCTGTTTTGGTATGCTGCATCGGTGTGCTGCATCGATGCGCTGCATCGGTGTGCTGCATTGATGTGCTGTTTTGGTATGCTGCATCGGTGTGCTGTTTTGGTATGCTGCATCGGTGTGCTGCATCGATGCGCTGCATCGATCAATGGCACGAAGATAATCCCCAAGATGGAACATTTGTTGACAAAACACCCTTCACCCCCCAATCAATCAATGGAACAATTAATTATGCACACTTCTCAGCAGTTTGAATGTAATTAACGCCGCCTCATAATCCATCACAATGGAGAGCTCTGCTTGATTCGGATCCCACACACCAGGGGGGAGGGCGCGGGTAAGAGGCGGCGGGGGGGGGGGGGCATTCAAATTCACATTTCACTTTTTCTTTGCCACGTCGGCACGGCGCGGCACTTTCTTTTACCGCTCTGCGAGACCACGGCGACAGTTCCATTAAAGGTGACGTTGAACTGACGAGTGTGGTTTTTTGCTGGTGTCGGAAGGCACCAGCCTTCCCTCCGTTCCAATATCTCGCCATATTTCGTGTTCAGTCCCTTGGCCAATTGCCCTTGCAGACTACGTTCATCAGTCTCGGTGTTTTTGGGGTCTTGCCAAGCAACAGCGATTAAAAACACATAAACATTTCATTTGAGCGAGCAAATTGAACCAATTCCAGATCAACTAAATCAAATTTAATTTGATATGTTCAGCCTGCTCCCCAGTGCAACGATGGTGCACTCGTTAAGTGTAGCGTGCTAAGAACATGGCAATCTAAGTAAAATTATGGCGAACACCAGCAGTGGTGAGATGTTAATTACCTCGCCTGGTATACATGAGGCCGTGGGTTCGATCCCGACCCCGACGCCTCTATCTTTGGAGTCTGCGTGGTCGTGTGGATTTTTCTCCGGGCACCTCCACTTTCTACCTCCACATTTAGAAACACGTGATTCCAGTATTTGACTGCTGCTATAAATGTCCACGCGAAAAGCCACTTCGTTTGAGCTATTATTATTATTACTTGTGGTGGCCAGGTCGCTTCTGAATAAAAGAGCTGTATAGAGCTCAGAGGGCCTTACCTGGGAACAAAAAAAAATAGTTAAATCGTTTAAGTCGCACTTCAATAAAAACAAATCACTGGCGGTGACCATTCCCACGCCCCCCCTCCCCCATCTCTCACCGGTCATCCCCCTGCCAGGACGGGTCGCCGAGCAGGAGGTCGCGGAGGCGGTAGCGCGGATGCAGGGGCGGCACGCCACTGTCGGGCGCGCTCATCCCGAGGCTGTCGGGCGAGAGGAGCAGCCCGGCGTCCGGCACCGCGAGTGGGGCTGCGGCGCTCGGCGGCGGTGGCGGCGCTTCCTCCTGTTCCTGCTGCTCCTGCTGCTCCTGCTGCTGACGATGCTGATGCCGATAGCGACGTTGATGATGATTATGATGATGCCGCTGCTCGTGCGGTAGCGGCGGCGATGGAGGCGGCACCAATATCGACACCGACTTGGCCGACGGCGCCGGCAGTGATCCCGGGGGCAGCCGGTCTTTCCGCCTTATTGGCGCTTTGGACGATGAGGACGTGGAAGGTGCGTGCTCGGTCACAGACGGCGGGGCCAGCGGTGAGAATGACTCTGTAGGCGCTGCTGCAGGCGATGATGATGATGATGATGATCCCGCTGCAGCCGCCGAGGCTAGGAGGGATGATGAGGATGCGGATGCCCGAGGGAGCCGCAAAGCTGCCTCGCCACCTGTCTCTTCATCGGACCTCAGCGAGTACCTACGCAAGCTGTGGGGGGTTGCAGAGCACACGTTCGTGATGACACATGGGCGCAGTCAGAGTTATTTGCTCTGCACGCCACAGCGACACGCGCAGCTCTCGATGGAAGGCGACCACGTGTCCTGCCGTTAGGGCTTCGAAGCGAGTCGGAGGACGGTCTCGGTGGATTGAAGCTCAAGGGCAGCAGCAAGACTCTAGATTTTGTCTGTGCGCACTTGCAGGCATTAAACCCCCGGATCCCCTATGGACACACAGTGGGTATTAATATCGCCATCATGGTGTTTAATGCTGCTGATCACAGCAGAGCCCTGCGCATTATCATCAAACGGCGTGAGATTGGAGACGACAACGGGGAAGGCGCCGGTTGACGTGGACTATGTGCGATTGAGGCTGATCTTCACCAGTGTGTACAACATTCTCTGGCGCGTGTCGTGACGGGTACTCCAAGATCCAACCGTGTCCGTCCAGTGCTGGCCGAGCGACGTTGGCTTCCGGTGGCTGAACGAAACCATCATGAAGTTGTACTCATTAATCACAAAGTGCTTGCCATAAGTGAACCACAATACCTCGCTGATCTCGTCAAGGAGCATGAACCATCACGCAAACTCCGGTCATCCTAGCAGCAGCGGCTTTTGGCTCGCCATCGAACAAAGAACGGTCGCCGCATCGCGCGCTTTCAGATGCGCTTCTGCGGCCATCTAGAACGCTCTTCCTTCCGACATTCGGAAGCCACTGGAGCTACGCGATTTTCAATAATTTAGATTGAAAACTCATTACTTTACAACTGCTTTTTGTGTTTTGGCTTGTTGTCCTTCTCCTGCACCTCCTATTAGCGCGGCTGGCTACGTACGGTGCGAAAGAAGTTCAACGTACAGACGTACGTACCATGGCCTTGGCCTGCACTCAGCACTGTGGCGAGCACCGGGTAGGGTCGCCTGGCAGCGTCTCGTGGGGTCCGCTACGCCCCGAGGGGGTTTGCGCCCGATGACGATGAAGATGTTCGCTCATCTCTTGTCCACATTTACCAAACCAGCGCTTCATTCCTCACTCAACATTTTATGGAACGCTTCTAGGCTGACTGAGAGTAGGGAATGTCGGCGTAAGGCACTAACACTAGAGTGCGAGTGATGCCGACCCTTAATAATCTCATTGTATTTAAAGCTTTCGTAACTGCAGTAATTCATATTCTTAGCTCTTTCGGAAAAGTCACGTTGAAGGGAAACAATAAAATAATAAAATATATGTAAAACAATAAAAAATGATCACGATGTTTCGACCATAACACAAACAAACAAACATAACAAACGACCGTTTGTGTTATGGTCGAAAGGTCGTGAGAATTTTTATTGTTTTATATATATTTTATTATTTTATTGCTTCCCTTCAACGTGACTTTACCGAAAGAGCTAAGAATATAATCTCATTGTACGCAATATTTACACTAATCCCATCAACAGATGCATAACCGAAAAAATATTTGAAAATAATGGCAAAATAATTCCCACAACAACGGTCTGGACTGTTTCGACTAAAATTATTATTCTTTATCTCACTGGGGAATGAAGTTAACTTGGCTCTGAGCCAGGGGTGTTCTAATGGACTCCTGAGACCATTAAAAGGCATGGCCTGATGTTTTTTTTTTTAAAATAACGACACTGGCAAGGCTGCTTGTGTGCAGGTAGATAATGAGGGCCCGAAAGACATGATGGAGCAGCCCGGGTCCATTACCCAAGTAACAATTAACATGCGATATTTTGTTTTAAATGTGATCACAGCAGTACGTTCACAAGCCCCGAGGAAAAAAAACAACAACAACATGTTTATCACTTTGACGTTCTTCTTGTCGCTGTTAAGAAGAAAGCAGCAGGCCCTTAGATCACCCCGTTACAGTTTCTAGAGCTACGATGCTGCCGGTCATCGTTTCCAATTAACAAGCCTCTGCCAAACTCTCCTGTGCCAAAAATGGGTCGCGCTCAATGGAATGGCTTTTTAATAACGCTTTCTATCGTCCTGATCTATTTTGCAATGGAACAGCATGCTCCCCGTTCTTACTCCGACGAGTACTTATTCTCATAGCCGCTACAATTGCCATTCCCTTGACCTCCTCGCATTTACACTTTACCTTCGACCCGTTGTGCAAGCAACCCCCTTTTGTCCTGCTCCTTTCCCTGTCCCCACGGGCAATTTTTAGGTCTGTTCTCTGAGATAATCCGTATTGGGGGCACGACACGCCGAGGGTCCGACCCACAATGTCAGTTTTGTTGACCAGTTTACGAGAGCTCTTCGGGAATGCTGGATATTGCTGCCTGATCATGCCCGGCTTTTGAAATCCCTCCCCATCATCTCTTCTCCTACGTTCTTGTAAACTGTTGCTCGAATCTATAAATGTATTGACTTCACAAGAGGGGCATTTTTGGGGTTATATCGCCTAAATATCAATGTGTCGTTAAACACCCCACTGCCCGACACTGACAATTAGTAAGGTTTGTCGTGTAAAAACATATAAATGCGTTACTAGTACAAAACACCCGAGTGTGTTGGAGAGTAAACCCAGAACATTTACAAATTCAAGTACTCTACAACACACCAGTGTGCTGTACTAGTAACGAATTGGCGTGTTGTTTTTACGTGACAAACCTTACTAATTGGCTGTGTCGGGCGGTGACGGGTTCAACGACACATTTACATCTACGTGATCTAACCCCACAAAACACCTCGATTATGGATAATATTGGTCGAGAAAGCCTACGTGTTGTAATATATTGGCTATTCGAGTCAAAGTTATTTTCCTGCTCAAAGGCCTCGGAGGGATGATGAGCTGAGTCAACCCCCTAATCAGGATTTGGAACTCACAACCTTCCGATCGCGAGCCGTTCTCTTTACTCCAGCTGTTATACCTTCCGCAGTGCTGTTTGTTGCAGATCGCTGTACATGTTGGGTCTTTGGGCCCTGTGCTCAGCAACCGTGACTGTGATTGAAACAATGAGAATGAGAAATGAGTAGAGCTACATTCGTGGCAATTCCTATTGTGAAATGTTAAACCAGTGACTTAAAAAGAATAATAACAAAAATAATAATATAAACAGTCTGCCTTGAGAGGCTAACCCCCCCCCCGTTTCCTGATGACGACCGCTTGTGTTGCGATCGAAACGTCGTGGGTTTTTATTATTATTTTATATTTACGTGACTTTACCGAAAGAACCAATAATATGTTAAACCAGTGTTACGTAAGGACCAGACACGCCTGCTTCTAGCCTTTCCTAGCTGAGCATGTGCCCCTGTGAAAAATAAAAAAAATCTGTTTATATCACCGATAGATCTGAATGCTATCTTGCAATTCAGCCGCGACGCGAGACTCTGCCATGCGTGTGGCGCTCCTTAACGATCTGCCACTGCCATGTATTCCACATCCCCAGAGAGGCAATGAAGTGATACAGCGGCAGTAAATTCTATTGAGCTACCTATCTAATTTATTCAACAACAACGACAACAACAACGACAACAACAACATCCACTCCGCATATGGAGAATATCATGAACGTTCGCGTGTGCACCTCAGCGATGACACAAATACTCAAGGGAGCGGTGGCTGCATTGGTGGCACCACAGTGCCCCGGGTTCAATTTGTTGACTTTGCATCGTGGGTAAATTACCGGTGGTTAATTCTCGGCCAGAACGGTGCAGAACGCTGCTCTGGGAATTATTTCGGCACGCTGCGTCCACACCTCGCCTTATTTGTATCCCACAACACTACGTCAAATTTATGAAATATTGGATGAAGGCCCTGCCCACCTCCCCAGCCCCCCTCCACAACCCCCCCACTATGCGGTCTTGGGTGTTGTCTGACCATACTTCACCGCGCTGGTCAGTACAAGTGAATGCAGAGGGAAACCAGAACCGGTGCAAAGATCGCTCGCCACTGATGCAAGCCGTGTCTGGGAGTTGAACTCAGCTTCACAAGGTCCAAAGTGCAGCGTGCAACTGGCTGTTGTGTATTGTATCTGTGTGTGCCCACTTGTATTGGAGAAGCTCAGCCTTCTGTTTGATTGTGAGGCGTCCAGTATTTAATGTTGTGTGGTGCCTCCATGGAGACCTTGTATATCTCGTGAAAGACACAACGCATACAGCAATCCAGTTCGTCCAAAGAACTGTCATGGGATTCTCAAAATTATTTTAAAAGGTTATCAGACCTGAGCTTGTGGAATAACTTATCCTTTTCCATTCTTACAGTTGCAAAGTGTCTCCAACATTTGCTTACTACGCAGTAAGAATAGAATACATTTAGTTAACTTTTCACATTTTTATTCTGTCACATCAGAGTTGTAGTACAGAAATAAATGAAAAATTCTAACCGGAAAGGGGAGTTGGAGGTGGAGGGCGGTGTGCAGATGAGTGGCACGGTTGTTGGCATACTGCGCCTCCAATCTGGCAGACTGAGCTGAATTGCTGACCATGGGGAATATCTGTGGAAATCTGTGAAAGAGAGCTTCATAGCTCATCGGATTCCTCCAGTATTTTGGCTATGAAAACAGCAGTTGCAAACGATATCCGAACTGGTTATGGGCCCTCTCATTCACAAAGCCGCACTCGGCTGTGCGTTAAAGTATGGCCAAAAAACCCTTTGTGACCGCCATGGCCTGGAGTGGCCTTCATCGGACAGGGGGATTTAAAGAACAAAAGAGGGCTGGAAATTAAAATGGAACAAATAAGATGGACAGAACAAGACAGTTTGTTGCCCTTCCTTCGTTTTTTGTCCTTTCCCCGCATCTTGAATGAGCACGGTATGGTACGAAAGAAGTTCACTATACATACTAGAGAAAATAAATAATCTATTAATGCGTCAAATCGTCAATCCACTTTGTGGCAGTTCATTGTAATCGTTGAGCAGTCGAAAAATAGCTGTAAATTATTATTGTATTATTTGTTTTCATTAACTACCACAGTGCTAAAGAGACTATCGCCCCCAGCGGAACACTGTGACATTTAGAAAATTAAATTCAGTGACCTTG